CATATAATTATGAAACTTCAGAATTTAATCAAGGTGGGAAAATAATCAATTTCTGATGGTAACTAAATCAAAAACATTGATGGCGTTATGTAAGAGTTCAAACAGTCAAGGTAAGCAGAGAATGTATTAATAAATTTAATTTACCAAAATAAAGCCGAAGTCATCTTTTATAGCAATTTCTAATAGTAACTCAATTAAAAACATTGATAGCATTATGTAAGGTTTCAAATAGTCATGGTAAGCCATGAAGTTATTAATAATCATTGATTCTTCTTTATAGAAAGACTATGTTTATTAAATTGTCAATCTTATATTTTTTTTTTTTTTTGTATCCTGGATTTATAAGGTAGGATGTTTTCCTTGTTCCAAAAAAATACATACACTCACAATACATGTGCATCAGGATACACACTTATTGATCTTCCCTCAGATATTTGCCTAGTAAAACCAAAGACTATTACATTACATTAACGGATGTGACCAAACAATAGAATACAGTTTAAAAATAATCCTTGATGAAACACACCACAGAGAATTTAATAATATTTTAGGAATAATTTATTAATTAAATATGAATGAAATTGTTCAAATGTGCTGATTAAAAAAAAAAAAAAAAAAAAAAAAACTTTGCACAAAAAAAAAAAAAGAAAGAAAAAAAAAAGGAAGAAAAAAAAGAATTAATGCATCTAACTTTGGGTATCTGAAAAGCAAAACTATTTTTAAGATTTTCTAAGTCAATCCATTTTGTTCCTAGAGGAATCAAACCATTTGAAATGATTACTTACTTGAAGAGCACAATGTAAGGGAGATAACTCCGATTATATTCTTTCATAGCTTTAAAAATGCTGAAAAATTTAATGCCTTTTGATTTATTCAGACAGGATGCTTGGCTAAATTTAATATTCAACAAACAATTACCTCGGTAGTAGGACTATATCACTGTCTAGTATCATACAATTTAAACATGGGTAATTTTTCAAAATTACAATATATACAAAAAATAAAATTTAAACCATCCCAGGAGCTCGTAGAGATTGCAAGGTTCCAAGAAGGAGTTGTTCCTCGCATTTCTTGGGATCATGGTATTACTTTTTTTCTTTTTACAATAACGTGCACGCTGTACAAGGCCCAAGAGCCACTCGAGGTAGAGAGTTACGGAGTATGAGGTACAGTTTATGTGGGAAAGATAACAGTTAACACTAGACTTTAACAGGTTAAGATTGTAGTGGTCAGGGAAGAATCCTCTTGGGAGTCAGTTCCACAAAGCTGTGGTTTGTGGGAAGAAGCTGCCCAAATGAAACTTACATCTCACCAATATGAAGGGAATTGGGGTGGTTTTCTATATGAAGGTTAGAATTGGTGGACTTAAGAAATGTAGTTCATCTGAAAGGTATCCTTTTTAAGTAATATTAAACAGCTTGGATATAGAATAATCAGCAAAGTGAAATGCTACAGGGAGAGGTAGATTCATGCCTTTATAAAGAGAGCTCCAATCCATTCCATGAGCTAGTGGCTATTGTAAGTATCTATTGTTGTTCATGTTCTTGAGATCCTAGGGTTATTTGGGGGTGCTCCTCTTCATCAAGTAATATTCAACAGGTTGTATTTCGAGGTCATACTACAGTTAGAAGTCAATTCATGCCTTTACAAAGAAAATCATCCTATATCCATGAACATTACAAGTTTCCCATGAGGACCTGTTTGTTAGGGAAATGGTTATTTAGCATTGACCACCTCCTAAGTACCATGTGACAGGTTGTAATGGTACTAGTAGCAGGGATTAATTCCTGGCCTGGCTCACAGAGAGAAAGGGTTTCATGCCTTCATTAAAGGAATTTGAATCAAATCATCACATGGTCAGGTAGATTACTGAATTACAATGCTATTTCTTGCATGAAGGATACCAAAGGTGAGTTTGATGATTGATTTTCATATTTTTTCTCTAAATGCAGTCCCTTCAGGATGTAATTGGTCATGGCTCTCTACAGCTTCCTTTTCTTTATAAACCATGAATTGCCATGACTTCTTGAGAAAAATGGATTGGTTTCCTGTTGCTTTCACAGTTTGCAATTCAAAGTTTTTTTTTTCGATTAGACTGGTTGCCACTCAAGGCTAGATGTCCCAGTCTACCCTGCTATTTAATGCCTAGCAGGTGGGAGAAGAGATAGATCCAAGAGAAATAGTGTGAAAGTGAGCATAACAGACAAGACTGGAGTTTGAACTTGACTCGTCGATACCAATTCGGGTGCTGATGACCATTAAACTACCTGCCCATCCACATTTTCATCTTAAATATTATTTTTTTAAAGATATGAAATAATTTGTAAAGCCTTCATTGATCTTTACTGATTATCTAGCAGGGTGTATAGAAAAGTTCTTGCTTGGACCCACTACTCAATCTCTGATTTAATGACATCTCACACTACAATTTTCATTTTGGGAGAGCTTTGTCTGCAAACTTTTTAACACACCCTCATAATGTTTTTTATCATCAATGAAGATTTTCTTAAAATTTACACAAAAATAAGACATTACTTTTCAGATATCCACTTGTTACTTTCTAAACAAAAATTATCCACTTAACAGTTACGATATAATAATATGCTAAACTGTAATTATTCATATATAATAACTTTAGTCATGAGTTAAACATTACAATTATTATGAATGTAAGTAAATATTTATATCACAATAACATAACATGATCAGGGCTGGATTATCCTTTAGGCTAGTATCAGCTACAGCCTAAGGTTCGATGCCAGATTATACTTGAGGCTAGCATAGGCTGCAGGCTTTTACCAAATGTTTTTAATTTTCGAGATGTCATAACTTCTAAATAGTTTCATAAACTGAAATGATATCAATATGACAAACTCATATTTATTTTGATTGCTTTATTGTTATAATTCTGTTTATAAAAAAAACATTTTATTTTTTACTACTGTTGTGTGAATTTGGTTTACAATAAATAGAATATTTTTAATGTCACAAAAAGATAACTATTTTAGTTTATTTAAAGAATTTACAATAATTCACTTCAAGCTGTTTAAATCTCACTAAAATATATCATGAGTAAAAAATATTCAAAATGGGTGCTGGTATGTTTAGAGGGTGGATCTATCTGAGGGTGCCCCATAATTTAATTAGCCTTGGGGCCCCTAAAGGTCATAATCCAGCCCTGAACATCATGCAATATTTATTTCAATATGCTCATATCATTTAGATAGTATTAAAAAATCAAAGCTTAATATTAAAAGCAATAATAGACATTTAGAAATATTTTGGTAACTTGCATGCAACTAGTTTGAGATTTTGGTTTTAGAGAAAGAAAACATGATAGAAATGCAAGCAAAGCAAATTTAGGACAGAGAGTGGTTTCCCAAAACCTGGAGAACTGTTTTTTCCCTTTAGAAGGAAGACACATGATCATGCTATATATATATATATATATATATATATATATATATATATATATATATATATATATATATATGTGTGTGTGTGTGAAATTTCAGTTATCATTAAAATATATCTGTAAAAGGACAATTTGAATAAAAACAAAAGAAAAACTTACTGAATCTCATGAAAATATAAATCTATACCCACAGAATTTTTCAAATATCTCCATTCCTAAAAGAATTGCTCCTTTCTCAAACCAACATACATTGTGATAAAAAAAAAAAAATTTTTTAAAAACTATAAGAAAATAGTTAAATTCATAACCTCCTGTTATTTAAAATATATAATACATAAATTTATCCCAAACTAAAACAATTTAAATATTAATCACAAGAAAAAAAGTCATCATTTTCTGAGATGAGGTATTATGTACATTATTTACATCATTCGGACTATTGTCCTCATCTTTGTCGCCATATTTATCACAATGTTTTGGCCGTTGTACGCTCCGGCCTTCTTCAGGTGGTTGGAATTTTTAACTGAACCCTTTATTTCGCTCACTGGGGTAGACTGTTCCAGTTCCATGTGCCATGTTTGATGGATGTCAGTTATCAGTTATCTCCAGCTAATTTCCCTCTGAAAGTTCTCCACTGCCTTAACCAGGTATTGAACTCACACTCTTTGGGTCCTGTTGCTGGATCTAACCAACGCCTTTATCCACTGTGCCATGCGTCCTTGAGGCTTTGGTTAGATTCAGTGACAGGACCCAAAGAGTGCGAGTTCAATACCTGGTTAAGGCAGTGGATAACTGACATCCATCAAACATGGCACATGGAACTAGAACAGCCTACTCCAGTGAGCGAAATAAAGGGTTCAGTTAAAAATTCCAACCACCTGAAGAAGGCCGGAGCATACAATGGCCGAAACATTGTGATAAATATAGCGACAAAGATGAGGACAATAGTCCGAATAATGTAAATAATGTATCATTTATTCACTTCCGTTTATTAAAATGCATCACTATGGCATCCTTCATAGTTTAAATTGACTCTCTAGTTAACCTCATGAATATTTATGAGTATCTCTTAAATTTAAAAATTTTGAACAACATTTTTACTTTTGTTTATAAATACTTGTTGAAAAATAATCCTTATAATTGCCTTGATAAAGTCCATCAGAGGATGAAACATGTTGACGAAGATAAGTTTTCCTTTTGTCTTTATTCATATATATATATATATATATATATATATATATATATATATAGAGAGCTACTCAAAACTATGGAATTTGAGACTTAAATGAACAGTATTGTTCATGAGAAAGCTGGATACAGGTTGATGGGTAAAACTTTGATAGGGAAATTGATAACTAGAAATTAGAGGAAATAATCCCTGCCCCCCGCCCAATTCAAATTCCACAAACTTTTGAGTAGCGACTGATGTGTTTATTTGTGCTGAAAGCAAAAACCAATGGTGAAAAGAAAAAAGAAACCATGATAAGCAAAAATGAAATAAAAACAGATTTTGGAAAAATGGTTAAAAAGAAAACCTAAAATCCTGTTTCTTCTGATGCAAATGTAAGAATTTAAATTAAAAATTTTAATTCAACATCAGTCCTGCAGAAGAGGGAGATGACAAGGTAAGAAGAGAAAAGAGAGAAGGACAAGACAAGGTAGGGGAAGAAAAGAGAGAAGGACAGGACAATGTAAGGGGAGAAAAGCAACAAGGACAAGGTAAGGGGAAGAAAAACAACAGGGACAAGGTAAGGGGAGAAAAACAACGAGGACAAGGTAAGGGGAGAAAAACAACGGGGACAAGGTAAGGGGAGAAAACAACGGGACAAGGTAAGGGAGAAAACAACGGGACAAGGTAAGGGGGAGAAAAGCAACGGGACAAGGTAAGGAGAAAAGCAACGGGGACAAGGTAAGGGGAGAAACAACGGGGACAAGGTAAGGGGAGAAAAACAATTGGGACAAGGTAAGGGGATAAAAGCAACGGGGACAAGGTAAGGGGAGAAAAGCAACGGGGACAAGGTAAGGGGAGAAAAGCAACGGGGACAAGGTAAGGGGAGAAAAGCAACGGAGACAAGGTAAGGGGAGAAAAGGAAGGAAGGACAAGGTAGGGGAGAAAAGGAAGGAAGGACAATGTAGGCAGGAAAAAGCAATGAGGACAAGGTAGAGGGAGAAAAACAACGAGGACAAGGTAAGGGGAGAAAAACAACGGAGACAAGGTAAGGGGAGAAAAACAACGGAGACAAGGTAAGGGGAGAAAAACAACGGAGACAAGGTAAGGGGAGAAAAACAACGGAGACAAGGTAAGGGGAGAAAAACAACGGAGACAAGGTAAGGGGAGAAAAACAACGGAGACAAGGTAAGGGGAGAAAAACAACGGAGACAAGGTAAGGGAGAAAAACAACGGAGACAAGGTAAGGGGAGAAAAAACAACGGAGACAAGGTAAGGGGAGAAAAACAACGGAGACAAGGTAAGGGGAGAAAAACAACGGAGACAAGGTAAGGGGAGAAAAACAACGGGGACAAGGTAAGGGGAGAAAACAACAGGGACAAGGTAAGGGGAGAAAACAACGGGGACAAGGTAAGGAGAGAAAAGGAAGGAAGGACAATGTAGGCAGGAAAAAGCAATGAGGACAAGGTAGAGGGAGAAAAGCAACGTGGAGAAGTTAGAGGGAGATAAACAAGAAGAACAAGGGAGTGGGAGAATTATAAAAGTGCAAGATAAGGTAGGGGTAGCAAAGCACAGAAGGAGGAGAAAAGCAAGGAGCACAAGGGAGGAGGCGGACTGCTAAAAGGACAAGAAATGTCGGGCAGAAACAAAGGGGAAGGAAATGCTACCACAGTCGTTCACAAGAAATTATACCATTTATGAACTGTAAAAACATTTCGAATGAAAGCTAGAATAAAAGAATTTTGAGTAAACTTGATCATATGTAAGAGTTGAAAATTTAAGATGGAAAAATGTTGGACATAAACGGATAAAAATACATGAATATTGAAAAAATTAAATTAAAACCAATCTAAAAAAAGAAAAAAAAGAAGTCTATCCTGAAATGTATTTATTTCATACAATGCTTTATTAATAACACACACAAAAAAACTGGTATGAATTTGATGCATATTTGGTTAGAGATGATGATGATGTTGATGCAGGTGGGTGGAAGGTGTAAGAGGAACAGTGAAGTCCACAAATCAAATCAGCGTGATGCAAAAGAAGACAAAAAAAAACATTCAAATCATGCACATGGGAATACTAAAAAGTTCCAGGTAAGACCTGCTTCCCCTCCCCAATATATGTTGTGCTATTTTCACCTGTAGCAGATTGTGATTAATCTGTTAAGAATTTCAGCCATTGTATATTTTCAACCTGAGACATTCCCAGGAGTGATTAAGCTGTTGTGTGTGTGTTTCTACCAAGTCACCATCTCTAGACAGCTCACCAACCAAGGCTAAAGAGCTCCTATCTGCCAATTTTTATTTTATGTTAACACAACTATCCATGGTTTCCTAATAGTCCCATCAACCTAATTTCACTCACAAGGCTTTGGTCAATCTATAGCATGGTTTTCAGGCACTTCCAAATACTGCAGCTTGTTAGGATTGTCTCCTCTGATTGGTATTATTAAAAAGTCAATTCCTTCACTAATTGAACATGATAAAATTTGAAACCATGACACTCAAATCATTCAGCTATGCACTCGAAATTGTTTAAGGCATTTATATTGGGATATAAAATGGGGAAACAAAAAGTTTAGTAATCCTCATCACAGTCTCTCATATCCTCAAGGACACATGGCACAGTGGATAAAGGCATTAGTTAGATCCAGTGACAATACACAAAGAGTGTGAATTCAATACCCAGTTAAGGCAGTGGAGAACTTGGAGAGGGGAATTAACAGGCGATAACCGACATCCATTAGACATGGCACATGGAACTAGAACAGTCTACCCCAGTGAGCGAAATAAAAGGTTCAGTTCATCATTCCAACCACCTAAAGAAGGCCGGAGCGTACAGCGACCGAAATGTTGTAATAAACATGGCGACAAAGATGAGGTCTAAATAATGTAAATAGTTTACAATTTTTATTATCTACTATTGTTGTAGCATACCTACGGATGATAATGGGTATGTCCCCATTCGCATAAATACAGTAGTAAATACTGTATGTTGATCTGCAGTTGGAGATTCATCTCCAGCTGTGCTGGTCAAACTCTGCCTTCGGGCAGAGAGGATCCCCAGATGAGGCTATGTCAAAGGGGAGAGTCTCATCTCAGGAAACAGCTACTTGACCTCGTTTTATATGGGATCTACAGGGAATTTTTGGCCAAGCCTAAGGGCTCGGATACCCCACATTAAATTCGGCCTCGTGCCCCATCTGACCATGTGGGACAGTTAGTAGATATTCTGCAGTTGGAGATTCAGTGGGCAATTCATTTGAATCACTTCTAGCAGTTGTCTATTACTTCTATGCGCCACTCGTGAATCTTATATGTGTTGTTCTTGTCCTAAGTATTATCGTTCATTACCAACCTTCGTTTGATTATTCTATTCAGTAACCTTCCCTAGGTTACAACAGCTATTTTTATAAAGAAATAGATCTGAAAAGAAATCTTTATTCAAAAATTTATAAAAAATTACAAAATTATCAAAATATGTATGAGGAGATGCTCTAAACCTAATTTATGCAAAATATTTATAAAAATGATTCCTTATTCTTCTTCATTTGGGCTTTGTGCTTCCATTCTACCTTAGTCAACCAAAAGCTTCTTTAAATTAGTTTATCTGTTGGTTTAAGTATCAATATTTTTCAGCCTATACAGAAGTAAATATCTACATACAATGCATACTGTATTTCTTTGCAACATAAAGCACATTTTTCCAAAAAAAAAAAAAAAATAAATAAAAGAAGCACTTTGCATCAATGATTGGGTTACTAGTGCAAGACTAAACTCTAAAACTCCTTGTGTTCAATATACTGATCCTCTGATGATCCCAAAATGAAAGTTATAAATGATTACATTATAATTACAAGTCAACAAAATTTTAACTATTTCAAAAAAAAAAATATATATATATATATATATATATATAAATTATTGAATATTATTGGTTACTTCTTTTTTTTCTAAATATTCTTTGCTAAATTATAAATACCAAGGAAGATGGTAAATGAAAATTACTGAATACAATATCAGCAGTTTTTGTTTATTTCTACTAAAGTTCACCCATTACAAGGCTCAAGAGCCACTTAAGCTAGAGAATTATTGAATGTGATGAGTGATGTCAGTGTGACAGTTGTTGTTGTTGGTGGCAGTAGGAATTGAAGATTTATTTCTTTTAAATAATTGCCTGATCTGTTATTGAACATTTTCTTGCATAGATCTATAAGCAAGAAACTTGTAATCACTTCAAATTGGGTGCCTTGTCATGGGGTAATGGTTAACAAGCTGATCTAACAGATCATTACTACTGAGTAATCAGTTCAGACATTAGTATTTGCCCACATACTTGTAGTTTGGGATCCCACTAAATTTAACTATAATCACTGCTAACTTGCAAAGTTGTTTTTTTCTCTCTCTCTCTCCACACACACAGAGTTTTTAAGGTATTTATGGGATAAAGTGCTCAATATCAAGCTGATGTAACAGATCATCACTACTGAGTAATCAGCTCAAACTTACTAGTATTTTGTGGTTTATTGATATGAAACAATATTTCACCATTTTTCTAACAACAATGCACAAATATTGTATTAAACAGGAAGAAAGGAATGAATTTCCTTCAAAATTATCACATAAAATTGCTCATCACTTGACAGGTTTATAAAAAGCAAATACAGTTTCAGTTTGGTTTGTCTTGAGGCATATCAACCTCAATGTTATTTAATGCCGACAAAATTTTTATTGCCGGTAATATTTGTTTTCTTCTTCAAAAATATATCGCTGGTAATATTTTTTTTTTCAAAAATCTATTGCTGGCAATAATTTTTTCTTCAAAAATTTATTATCTGTAATAATTGTTTTTACAAAGTATTTCTGGTATTAAAACTTATTTTTACACTTTCATAGTGTTTTGACCCCAGTTTTGGGTTAACTATTTACCGATAGTTAGGATCCTAACAGGTGCTACCATCCCGGATCAGGGTGGACCTGGGAACACCAGAAGTTAAGAGGTGGTTCCATGCCCCCAAAACCTGATCAGAGGCCTTGCTGTTGGACGTAGTTTATCATCTTACCCAGGACACGGATGTAGTTTGGTTGAAATTTACAAAATCTTTTTCTTAAAACAGTTTTTCAAGAAATGAAACTTTGCAAGTACACTACCTGTTATAGTGCTTTCTAGTACTAATGGGAGTTTCCTTCCAACCTTTTTGTTTTTGGTAGTGTGGAAAGCTAACATGTTTATATCATTATTTTCCCTTCTAGTTACATGTGCCAACCATTTTTGTTGTTGCTACCGTTGGAATATTCAAGTGATGTGGTTTTTTTTTGTTATTTGGTAATCCTCTTTGTGATTTTATAGTGCCAGTCTCTTGGGTCTGATGAAAGACCCAAGAGACTGGCACTATAAGAGAGACTTAAAAATTTATAGGTTTTATTTATTTAAAGTCATTTTTAATCATTGACCTGAGAAAATGGTCATATATAGATGATAGTTTGGACATTTCTGAAGGAATTGGATACCATGCATGACATCCATACAAGAGTGTCTATGAGGCTATTTAAGAACAGGAGTTGAGGTTTTAAGTTAATAATTTGGTTTTGTACCATCTTGTAGTACTGGGAAAGCTACACCTATTGCAATCTATCCTTTGTCCAATTTCCTAATTTATTTTGGAGTTCAGGGAAGACTTGGCCATCTCCTAGACTGATTGCCAACCATAGCTGTCTGCTCTACTATTTAATCCATAACAGATGAGGGAGATAGATTCATACCTTTCCCAAGGGTATTTGTGTTAAAGTGAATGTAAGAAACTCAACAGAAATTCAAACTTGGCTCACTGATTATTTATTTTAAAAAATTTTTTTTACAATAATGCTCACTCTGAACAAAGCCCAAGAGCCACTCGAGGTAGAGATTTATTTAGAGGTTCCATAAAACAGCAGTTTGTGAGAAGAAACTATTCAAGAGGATCTTACCTCCTACCAATGAAATATAAAGAGGATGAGGGTGGATTGCTTCAATATGTATGGTATGGTGGATCTTAGCCAGGAAGCTTAGAACTAAGGAATCTAGTTCCTCTGAACACACATTTTATATATTTATGTGTGTGTATAATGATATAATAGGAAAAAACTGTTAGATCGATGATCCTAAATTCTTTAGTATTTTTGCTTTTATTTTTAAAAAACGGTGCTCAATACAGAAGTAGAGCCTAATATATAATTATTTTTTTAAAAATATGATTCCATCATGACACAGAAATTAGTATGTTTCAAAACTGGTCATCCATATTCAAGTTTCATTTCAATATTAAACCTTAAATGTTGAATGACTGCTTCATCCTCAAGCGATGTTTGGAATAACTAAGCAACGAAATGTTTTACTCATTTATAGTTTTGAAATGGATTTTATCAAGGAGCTCATGGATGAAGGGTAGACTTACAGATATGTATGATAAACTCTTACCTTTAATATGTCTTGTGAGAGTCAAATTCGTCAAACCTTCTTACCTCATTATCTCTTTTTGATTCTAAGATTAAGCATTGTGATAATAACAACAAAGATGAAGACAATAGTTTGAATTTAATAATGTTGTGACACTATGAGTTGGATATATGCGCACA